ATGGAAGTAATATATATTAATTTGGGGAAATTTAGAAACATAGAAGTATGCACAAAAATTGCTATAATCCCACTGCTCACAAATGAACATTGTTCTAATTTTGGTCCATTTCTTTTTGGTCATTTAGTCACATGCATATACATGCACACATACATAAGGATATATTAATATATGTGTGTGCATATGCACATGTATATAATCTTACAAAAATTGATATCACAGTTTTCCTTTTTTAATTAATGTTAGATTGTAATCTTTCACATCATTATTCTTTGAAAACGTATCTTCAAGATTAGGTAGTTTCCTATTATATGGGTATATTATTTAGGGTTCTCCAGAGAAATAGAACCAACATGATATGTATATAGAGAGAGGGACTGAGATTTATTTTAAGGAATTAGGTCTTCCAATTGTGGAGGCTTGGCAAATTTGAAATCTGCAGAGTGGAATTCACAGAAGAGTTGCAGTTCAAGTCCAAAGGCAGTCTGGAGGCAGAATTCCTTATTCCTTATGGTGAAGAAGAGGGCACTTCTTTCTGTTAAGGTCTTCATCTGATTGGATGAGGCCTACTCACATTATGAAGGGTAATCTGATTTACTCAGTCTACTAATTTAAATATTAGTCTCCTCTAAAAAAAAAAGTACCTACACAAAAAAATCTAGAATAACATTTGACCAAATACCTACGTTCTGTGGCCTACTCAAGTTGACACATAAAATTAACAATCACAGTTGGTATACCATAATTTTGAGTTACATTTCCCTGATTTGGAAAGAAAAGCTGTTTCTAGGTTGTAACAAATATATCACATACAATTTAACACCCTTATAGATCAAACTTCTTTAGTGACTGAGTGCCTGGAGCTTTATATACGAAACAAAGTTCCTACTTTTATGAAGCTTATAATCTATAAGGAAAGATAGATAATAAACTAATAAAATAAACTAATAAGTTAGTAACAATATGTCAGGTTGTCACAAATGCTCTGCAGAAAAATAAGACAAGATAACAAGATAGTATTAGAAGGGGCGTTGGGCGCTATTAATATTTAAGGTAGTTAGGGAAAGCCTCTCTATTAAGTAGGGTCTAAATGAACAAAGCGGAAGACCATGCAGCTGTATGGATGAAAGTCATTCTGGGCAAAGGGAAGAGCAGCAACTGCACAGACCCTGAGGTGGGAACATGCCCAGCTGGTTTGAGAACAGCAGATTGGCCAGAAATCCTGTGGGGTGGAAGGAGTGCCTGAGTGGGAGAGTTACAGGGAGTGAGCTGACAAGACAGGAGGTTGTGGTTGGAAAGTGGGATGCTAGTGTAGTTGGTAATAGTAACAGAGTTTGGGCATGGCTAGATGAAGTGCTGGTGGAGGGAAGAATCTGCATCTCTAATCTCTCAGTGTCTCTGATTATTTTTACTTTCCCACGTTGTGACTGTTTGTTTTAGAACTATTTACACGTGTATTCACATTCTACGGCAGTTCAGTTTTGTCTTCAGAATCCCTAGCGTCTCTGACAAACTAGAAGAGCAAACTAAAGAGTAGTTACTACTCGTCTTTGTGGTGTCTCTGGGCTTCCTAATCTCATTTAAAGTACTGTCAGCTCAATATAATATAAATATTGTTTTGTAGTCCCATGTCCAGGATATGCTTGAATGAATGTGTGAGGAGCTTATTACTTTTTATGTTTAGGGCCTTTACTTTTGACTTGCCTGGAGATCTATGAGTATTTATTCTTTGACTCCATTCCTCTCCTATAAAATGATATAATACCTTCTGTAGGAGTGTTCTTTGAATATTTAGTGTTACGGAATGCATCTGTGGTTTTTAGAGGGTTTGAGGACTCAGTGTTCTTAAATTTACTCCTGGTAAAATTGTGTTTATATAGGTATTTTTCTTGCGACTTGGAATAATAGTTTATAAATTCAGGATACAGCTGAAGATTGTAGGTTCTAACATCTGCTGTAATCAGAAGGTATTTCATGATCTCTCCCAGGAGTTGAGGCCAAATTTCTGAACACTTTACTTTTTCCAAATGTATTTGCTGAATAATGGGTTTGGTTCTTCTTGGAACTTGCAAAGTTACCTCATGGAATGGAAAAAAGTTTTTGCCAACAATTAGAACATATATTTGACTCTATATTCAGCCAAACCATGTTCAGATGTTTGTACATGATGTGCTAATCATGTGCCTATTCTGTTGTGGAGTGGTTTTGGTTAGTAATACTAGCATGCTCTGTGTCTGAGCAAGGCAGGTTTACTTTGCATTGAAGGCCTAAATTATTGGGTTTTTAAAAAATGTTGATCTGATATATTTGATTGCTACTTATTTCTTCTGGATGCCTAGATCCTTATATTTTATTAGTTTTTAGTTTTACTTTATTAGCATTTTATATTTTAGTATTTCAATTT